TAGTGTTTTAAGGTCAGGTCAGGTCCGGTTATTTATTATTGTTTCACTATAACCAATAACTGTAACCGGTCATATCATCCTGAGAAATTGGTGACTGATGACTGGACCTACTTTGACCGGTTAAAACCAGTTATTACAGCAGTCAAAAACCGGTCATGACTGGTTATGCACTGACCGGTTATCGACTGGCTATTGACTGGTCAAAACCGGTTTTACCCTCTGTAATGATATCTAAGACCATAAAATTGGAATCTATGTGCTGCTGGCTGGTGTCTACATTGAAGAGCAACCATTACATAGTAGTAGTCGATTTAATATAACACATCCTCGCTCCTCATTTCCTCATCCAAGCGGCATAAATCTTCGAACTCATCTAGGGAGTATACTACCTGCTCCTCCTGACCAAGGTTCCATAAAGCGAAGTCAATGACCTCTGGCTTCCAGGCATGCTTCAACATCTGGAGCTGCTCAAATCTTACTAAACTGAGACGCGCTCGCTTGTCTGTTGCAATTTCTTTCGCAGCTGAGAACAGCCGTTCACAAGGTACAGAAGATGCCTGTATTGGGAGAATGTCAAGTGCAATTCGGGACAGCGTGGGGTACTCGTGAGCATGTGTCTAGAGCAACTGATTAAAATGACATATAAAACAGCATAGAATTAAAAACGCACCGACCACCATTCTACAAGGTCTGCATCCTTGGATACATCCTTGAAGAATGTCTTAAGATAGCGACGAAGTTCAGACTGCCAGCCTTCCTCAAAATCATCGGGGTTGCTTTTCTCCAGTAATTCACGGCGGTAGCAATCAAAATCGCTTTCAGGCTCATCCTGAATATGAGGTTCAGCCGGAGTAATTGATGCTGAGCGTGAGCGATTATTGGAGGAAGTAGATAGACGTCTATTCCAGTATAATTCCATCTGCAGTATATTTAGTGAGGCAGAGTCTCGAGGAAAAATAGACATGTGCTTACCATTTCCTCGCTCATCCTTGTAGCCTCATCATACCAGTTCTTGGCATGCCGATCACCAGCTGCCTTCGCCTTTTTCTGTTCCTCAGCACCTCCCCACTTCATCTTGATGTAATCGAGCTTAAAATAAGGGTGTAGAACTGTATGCACAGGTTATTACAGGGAAAGGATAAATTCATTGAATAAGCGTACTCAAAGACATGGGGTATGCCTTCTTTTTATCAAGAGGTGGCCGGTATTTCTTGATTTTGGTAATACCAGCTTCGATTCCAGGTTTATAGTCGGCATACTTGGGATTGCTCGCTTTTTTGGTCCAAGTTGTGATAAGATCTTCAACAGCAGGAATAACTCGCCACAGAGTTGGTGCTTTATCAGAGGAGAAGTATTGCTGAATTCGATTAGCATCCTGACATGGTGTATAAGCACAGTGTAGATAGAATAATTGATGAACCCACTCGAAGAATATCAATTATGACAGGTAGTCTTGCCCAATCACTTTCATCAAGGCGAAATGCTGTCCATGGGATATGCCTGAGGATGCGCCCATCCTTTCGAAGTGTTGTTATAGGACCAAACTTTGCATCCGCTGTAAGTACAAACATATTGATAGCCTGAAGAGATAAACAACTGATCAGAGAGATATAAGCCAGTATTAAATATGATTTACCTGTCGAAGTGTGTATGCACGCTCACACATACCAGATGCTGTCCCCCAACGAGTGTTTCCATGTAGCAAGATCACCAGATCATCATGAGCATCAATTCCACTTTGCTTCTGGAGCATCTTGAAGTGTGAGATACGCTGACCACTAGCTTGCATCTGAGTAGAACACATGATTAGCACTGTGAATTCAACAGCTGCGCTTCACCCACCTTAACTGCCAGAGTGCGAATAATAGCAACTATATCAGCAGCTGTGCCACCCATAATCTTGTTGTTTAGGTCCTCTGGATCATATTCCCAAATTGCTGCTGTCGTCTCAATAGCAGCAGTCTTAGTGACCCAGGACATAAAGTCACAAACACCCAGATTGATGGCATGTGCAATGCAGCTAATAAAACATGTCAGAAGGTGATGATTATAACAGATAAAGATGTACGGGTATCGTGACTCATCCGAGTCCCAAGTATCAAGAGTCTTGGTGTTAATATACCGCTCAATGGCTGTAGCAGTGGTGTTGTTATTACCAGCATTGTCTGCAGTCAAGCCACCAAGCTGAAAATGACAGTAAAAATGCGAAACATGTTATGATTTGAAAGCAGTAAGCGCACCTTTGATCCACCCTCATTAACAATTCCTACTCGTTCACATAAACCCACAAAATACCTCCCCAAGTTGCTGCCATCATGGACACCTGAAATCGGCCGAAACCCAAGGACTTCTGAACGAAATATCCACTTGCCACTAGGCACAACATCAATCCAATGTCCTGTAAGTCCCATGATATTCATCTTTGTTGCATCAACTGTCCAAGTGTCTGTTGTTGTCGAAACCATCCCAGGTGCATTGGTAATATCTGTGTTGAGCGCAGTGATTAGCTTGCCATGCTCATTGTGAAGGTACACAGAGATGTTGTGTGCACTGGGGAGGTCCTGAGGAATTGTTTTGGGGCGCATGGACACAAGAGTATTGCGGAATGTAGGCTCATCAGCAAGGGATATGGGCTGAGGATATGTTAGAATTGCGACTTTAATTATATGAGTAATTGTGCTTGCCTGGTCATGGCATGCAATGTGGCGAGCCACAGCACTCAGAACATCTTCACGAGTGAATTCTCGAGGCCCTATGGCCGGTGTAAACCCAAGCTTGGACTGCTTTTTCCCTGCCTTGGCCTCTGCTTCAGCTGTTTGTTGCTTCTTCAGCAGCTCGCGTGGGATGGCACGGTCAGACAAAGGGATTTTGTTCTCCTCACAGCGAGATTTGTACAAGGCATAATGCTGACGACAGTGGACACGTATAGACGAGTTTCCACCAGTGTGAAAGCACTTTCGAAGGCCATTTGCTGAAACAAACTTCTCATTGGCTCTGCGAAGAAAGTGTGAGGTAATTACATATCTGATGAGTTTAACCCAATGAAAACTACATACTTGCATTCCTTGCACCAGCGTCCACGCAAATCCATCCGAGTTCCATCCATCTGAAAGGTGGCATTGACAAGATCTGTGAAAATAGTAAGAATATCCTTGGTAGTGTCACTTTTCACCCCAAGTGCTTCGGGAATTGGGGCTTGATGGCGCTCTTCTAGACCAGAGCAATCAGAATCCTAATCCACAATTAGTTTCGAAGCAAAAACATCGCAGCTTTAGAAAGAAACTGACCGATTTTTCCTCATCCTCTGAGCTGGATTCCTGGCTCGAATTTAAAGAGGTAGAGTTGACAGGGCTAGCAGTGCGCTGCCTGCCACTGTTCTTCTTATGTTTAGATGTGCGTCTCTTCTTCTTGGGAGGCTGTTGTTGTGTTTTATCAGTACTAGCACCAGGGCGCTTTGGTGCTTTCTTGACACAGTGACCTTTTCCGAGTGCTTCTTCAGTAGAGGGCATGATAGGTGTGAGAGGTGTGAGGTCGAAGCGAAAACTGGAGACACTTAGTTAGGACTCTCTAGCATTTTATATGATTTTTCTAGGTGGCTTAATTCGGTCATAGCGAATGTATTCACTCAATGGAACAAGGCATACCACTTAGAGGTCAAATGTCAAAGCCAGGTTGACCAACTTAGATGTAACCAAACAACGGCCGGTCTGTGCTCAATAAACAAAGCATACTTGTATGAGATACAAGAAGCTGTCTCATTGGAGATAACCTAGACAAAGGCTACATAGCATTGTTGTATTTCCGTATGTTAAAACAACAGAATAAAGGTACATCACTCAGGGTCAAAGTGGTTGCTCAGGTCCATACATTCTGAGTACAACACGGAGTTGCCATCACGATTTTCCACTTATATTTCAGCTACATGTGCAGAGAATAATACAACGTCCTCATTGTACCTCATAAGCATGACCTCCGAGCATTTGTTTCATTTTGTAAGCTTGTCTGCCGTGCGTACAGACTTGTCAATGCTTGTGACTAGAGCATGCAACATGCCACGGAGTTAGCCGGGGTATGCTACCTTTATAATTACAGCTATGAAGATAGCCGGTTGTGACCGGTCATGACTGGTTATTACCAGTCACTACGTATTTACTAAAAGTGCAAGACCCATAACCGGACCTCGTTCAAGCGTACTCTAACCGTTGACCGCAGTCACAGCATGACTGGTCAAGGTTCGGTCTTGTTTCGGTTAACGTCCGGTCAGCCTGACCTGACCTTCAACCTCTA